TGGCATTGTACCAGAGGTAGGGTAATGCTGCCATCTTAATCTAGCGGATGTTGACTTTAAAAGCTCTGTAAGCTTTGAAGAAAGAACACAAACTGAAAGGAAAGAAAATATGGTGCTCGTTTTGGCTTTTAAAATCCCTCCTGTATTTTATTATATGATCTCCAGGTCCCCTTCTAATTTTAATAGTCCGTGAGTTTTAAAAAAACCTACCAGTGACACTCCTATTTTAGTACTTAATCTTTTAAAAATAATTTTTGGCTCCAATGCATTTTTGTGGCCTATTTAATTGTCAATGCTTTGGAATCGAGATTATTTAACAAAGGATAAAGACTTAGATTAAGCTGCAGGAAAAGAAGCTAATCATTTCAGTTTCCTGAGATGGCATCATATCATCTGCCAAATGCAAATTTAAAAAAAAAAAGACTGTTATCCCTGCCAACTGGAAGATAAATGTTCCAAAGATTGTCACCATCTCTGTGACGTGCATTGATGGCTTGAGGAAGATTTGGTCCTCCTAATGGTCACTCAGTCATCACCGTCTTCCCAGAAATTACAGCGGTGGGGCTGCGGGGTCTCTCGTTCCATATCATTCCCTGTTCTCAGTTCTCCTGAAAGAGTCATAAGGAGGAGGCCAGCTGGCAGCCATGGCGTGTGACTGGGATGGGAGCGCTGAGATGAGGAGGAGAGTGTGTTGGGAAGGGAAGGCAAAGTGGCAGAGAAAGGGGGGGCAGTAAGGGGGGAGGGAGGGGCACTTTGGGGACACTCTAGTGTTGACTGATTTATTTATGACGAAGTGTTTGAGGAAGCAAACCGTGCCTGCCTTTTCACGTGGAAAGATATGACAGCTCCGTGTCCTCCCTTGCTCTTGTCCTGCTCTCTCAGGTCTGTCTTTGCCAGTGCTGCCAGAAAGAACCTCCTGCTAAGAGGGCTAGTTCATGCCAATTCCTTGTTTAAAACCCTTTAATGGCTCTCCCTTGTTGCCCAGCAGCAGGAATGGGCAAACAACGGCCATTACCGCCTGTTTTGGTACAGACAGTGAGCTACAAATGGGTTCTACATTTGTAAGTAGTTGAAAAAATTTTTTAAAGAATAATACTTCATGGCTTTTGAAGATTATATGAAATTCCAATTACAGTGTCCATAAACAAAGTTTTACTCAGCCACGCTCATTCATTTTCATATCATGGCCACTTTTGCAGGGCTGAGTTGAAGCCACGTGGTTGTCTAAGCCTAAAGCATTTACCACCAGGCCTTTTACAGAAAAAAACTTACACTTCCCTGTAGGATAAAATCCCCTGCTTTCTGACTCCCACCTTATTATCCAGTAATAACACAGAACTGCCTGAGTTTATCAACACTGTGCTGTTCCCTTGGTCTGGAATGGCCTCCCTTTTGGCTGTACTCAACTATACCAGCTACTCCTACTCAGCCCTTAAGACTCAACTCTGCCATAAATTCTTCCAGAAAGATGTCAGTGAGGACCTTTCCATCTCCAGGTACCAATCCTCACACCTTAAGGTTGGATTTTTTTTGCTGTTCTCATAATACTCTGTGTATGATCCTATCATTGTTCTTGTACCCTCTCTTACAACTACCAGCTCCCTGAAGACAGAGGCCACAGTTATTCACTAGTTTATTCCTGGCATGGAACACTGTGTATGGCACTGAGTAGGGAAATGATAAAGGATTGCTGACTGACTGATGCACGGATGCATCCATCTCCTCCTGACGGTGGTTCCTGGAGCTGCCAACAGAAGAGCTTTAGGTGCCCTTGTCAGAAGTAGTACATTCTAGAGAAATAACTAAGTGTCCATGAATTGTGACATTCCATTCTCCTTCCTCAGGTTTCATTCTTAAACTCTACAAAGAGTCTGTAGCCATAGTCTATGGTGTGTCCATTTATATTGGCTTTCCATTCAGAGAGAGGATTTGAGTTTGCTGTCACTTTAAATCCAATTCTAGGTGTATTCATTGTGCCAAGAAAACAAGTCTAGCACAGGAACAGTAATGTCCTTCAATGTTATTAAACCTGCTGACTGCTCATGCAGATAAAACTTTATGTTTCCCTTTGTCAGAGAAATCAAAAGTCAGGATGAGCATTACCTACTGAGCTTTCAATCTGATGTCTTCACGGAAGCCCCAGTTTTCTTAGCCTAAAATAAAATCTTACCACTGATAACTTTAAATAATAATAACTTGGGGAAAATGCTAAGTTAAGTAATTTAATGCCTGAGGGAGATTTCTGAAAATGAATGCAACGCACATTTTATGGAAATATTTGTGCCCTAAATATCAATGTCTTCATGGAAGTTTAAATATTTGTTTTACGCCTATGGCTAAAATACACCCCCCCCCCCTTTTTATCCTTTCGTCTTGGAATGGCCCTCTTTTAATGTGCTTTGTTTTAAGAACAACTTTATAGCAGGGAAATGGTGAAATAAAAACATGTTACACATTCTTTTGCAGACTTCCTCAGGCAAAATATCTACAGCATTTGTTCCCACCTCTGATTTTTTTCTATTTGATGGCATTTTAGACCTTGAACTGTAATTCTTGTTTACTTCTCACTGTCTTCCTTTTAATGCAAAATGAGAAAGCCAGATACTTTGCTTATTCAAACATATTGTGGAAGACCCGGTTGAGTCTCCATTAGAGACAATAAGATTTTTAAACACCACAGCTGGAGAACACTGCAGGCCGGGAGGCTCTGCCCTCATTGGTTATTTTCTTTATCAAGTTCATACCAGAAATGGGGCTTGGCTTAGCTAAGCGTTGAACTTTGGCTGCTTTATCACAAAATCATGGTTCTTTTTCCTCTTCTCAACCCTCTAGTAAGTATGAACTTCAATACATTATAGGCATTTTGTATTCTAACAATCAGAGCTGTAGTTACTGTAGGTAGAAACCAGAGAGACAGCATCTGAATTCAAGGACAAAGAGGCATGTATCTGGCATAAAGGTCCAAATAATACCAAGTTGTGGGAAAATATGAAAATGTCCTCTTTATCTATTTCTTTTTAAAATATTTTTCTTCTCTGTTCTATTCACTTGTCTGGCAGAAAGCTGTGGTATGAATGACATGTGGATCAACAGGAAAAACTACCCAGGAAACCCCTTGAAATGAGGCTGGTCCTGACAGATCAGGGACCAGCCACAGGTGCTGCAAAGCTTCTGCCGGCTCCTGTCATGCTTTTCTCTCTTGCTTCTGAAATGGTTGTCCCATCCGAGTGGCAGCAGGGCCATGCAGCGTGTGTTCTCTAGTTTAAGAACAACACTTTACTTTCCAACCCAAGCGCTATATTGTGTTGAAGAAATAGCCCTCAGAATACACCAACAGCCCTATTGTCTAAATGAATAGTTTTTTTCTAGAAAATGGGGATGCTGAAGAAAGACTAAGCAGGATCCTACCTCTACTTCTGAATGTTCACAGTCGTGTAGACAGGATTCTTCAAGGGGAGTTAGGGCTTAAATAAGATGGTGTTTTTGCCTACATGGACCCCATATAATTTATTTTGTAATTTAAGGTAAACCTCACACTCACGCAAATCATCATGGTGAGGCAGTCCTACTTAATAAAGCCTTTTCAGACCCTCAAGAAGGAAACAAATCTTGAAATTCTGAAGAGGTGAAGGAAGTTTTCATGTCTTGAGGGGAAGTGGGAGTGGAGGAAGGCATATGAAAAGTCACGGAGAAAGAAAGTACCATATAGCAAATCTTCGCTACAACTTTAGAGAGTAAAAAAATAGAGCAAGATGCGTTGCGGGCATTTCGTCTTTAAGTGCTCTTCGTAAAATGACTTGCTTTTTTATAGGGGGGATTGCCAGATCCTTTCTAGAAATATATTATAAAAATAGCTGGGGATTCTGGATTTCTAGAAATCTAGAAATCTAAAATCACATTTTATAAGGCTGTAAATAATGAAATGCCCCTTTGTGAAAAATATTGCCCTATTAGATTTGAGAAGTCACAGGTCTTGTTATTTTCCAAAGCCACTGAGAAAAAAGGAGTACAATGTACTAAATATTTCTGGTATTATGTGGACTACGGAAACACTGGCTATTCTTGAAGCATCTCTGTCGCTGTCTTCGTGCCGACAAGCCAGGGAAGTGAACTCTCCTTGCCTCAGCTGTCGGTTGGCTCCAGGCGGAGATAACACTGCCTGCCTCTTAGTATGTTTTGAAATTTATAATCTGCTAAGCGCTAGGAACTCCTCAGAGAAAAGGGTGCTTTTTCTACAGCACGAGCATCTTGAGACAGGGTAGTGCGACTATCTCTTAGGTCATTTTCATCTTTATAACAGTTCTCATTTTTGAAGGTTTCAAGTGATGGCCCTTTAAAAATTATTTTTTACCAGAATGCCAAAAATAGCCATTTTATTCAGAATTTACAAAGAAAAAAAGTGCCAAAAAGCTGTGCTGCACGATACCAATCGAGCCAGGAGCTCACACTTCAGCTGAAAGTTTTCATATTATGTAGAAAGAGGCAAAGTCATTTAAAAAAAATTTTACTTAAATATGCTTTATTATAATGAAGACTTCAGTTTAACAGAGGTCAGTTTCGGGCAGCCTAAAGAGGACAAGTCACCAGAAGTACTGGAATGACAAACATAGTAGATTGTCTGAGTGAGTCCTGAGTAGTTTTAGAAATTCAACCAACATATTATCAAGTCATATTACCATTGGCTATGTTTGTGCTTAGGACTGATTCTCAATATACTATAAGGGAAAGAATTAATAAAAATAATATGAAAATATGTTTGGATCCTAAACTTTTTAACTTACATGTGAAATTGATCATATTTTTAGGTAAGTTTTTTCTAAAGTTTTTAAATGTTATAGTCAAAATGTTGCCATCAGCATGAAATTCTTTGATACGTCTGGAGGCTTCTATTATAGAAACTAAAATTAAAAAATATGTAGTAGATAAGATTAAACATTCTTTGGGGTGAAGACTAATTCAAAACAATGCTTTTATAAGGAAAAACGAAAAGGCTCTTTAAGTTCATTTTCAGGTTACTTTTTATTACTAGTACAATTTTGACTTTCAGTATGCATCTTTCAAATACAGTCTTTTGGGGTAAACACAGGTGAAAATGTCAATCTAATTAGCAGGAGAACATAGTCTTTCTTTGGTAGAAAAGTGTGGACAGGGTAGATACTTCTACTTTGACTAGAAATCAAGTGTGAAAACCTATTTTCTCTTAAAAAACAAGCATTTCTATAATTCTTCTCTAATTAGAATAACTGAGCCTCTTTGATATAATTTTTTACTCTAAGCTTCAGTTTGTTAATACATATATATGCGTGAGTCCTAATAGGGTGGCCCTTCCAATGTGAATAATGGTGCCAAAACATAAAAGAGACATAAAGATAAATGGACTAGAGTCTGTGCATTTATAAAACTCAAAATACTACACAAAATTTAAATCATCTTAATAATGGACACTTCACACACATGCAATAATATGATATTTCAACTCAAGATGTAGGAAAGGTGCCAAATTAGTGTCCCTGTGACTGGCATACTGTACTTCTAGAGAATCCTTTTTAATCCATGGTAAACCAGGAACTCTTTCTACCTGTGTGGTCGCTACTAGTACAAATATGTCCTACAACCCATGTGGTCCATATTTACAAAGCAACAGCTCCTCTTGAAAAAGGCTAGTATTTGGAATATGAGACCAACTCATTTTATTTTTGTGAGAACAATAGTTATCTGGATGTGGGATGACCCATAGGAATCAGAGCTCAGAGTGGCATGTCCTGTCTCAAATATTAGCTTGAATGTGAGTGATCTAACTTTACTCCTCAAATAAATGAGAGAGAAATACCCACAGCACATTTTGTGATGAGTTGACAATGGCAGCTTTGCTTTGCAGAATTATACCTGCAAGCATGACCTCTTGAAACATCAATTTCTAACAAAAATATGAGACATTCATTTCCTTCTGAGTGAAAAATGTACAACTTTTCTGCCCTAGCTTGTCTTTTTCTTGCTGTCTAGAATAAATTCAGGTAGCTTAGTACAAATAATAATTTTGATCTAGTACATGCAAAGAGTGAGATGGCTGTTTTATAATAATATTTATGTTTAGAATAGCCTGCTTCTCTCTATTTTGAGTCTAGTGAAAGTTTTAGTGAATAATATAATGTATATCAACTTCTGGGATTGTAGTGTATCAAATCCTAGGAGTAATGGAAATCACTTCTAGTGTTTATAACAGAAAGCAACGAAATAGGATCTGATTCTATCAGGCTAAGTATTTTCTGCCAAATCCCCCATATCTTGAAACATTGACATCTGGGATGATTCAACTACCATAACAAAGTTTGAAGGAAAGAAATTTTTTATGTGAGGGATTCCTGAGAATTTGCCGACAGACTAATAATATACCAGGTATTATTTTTTAAGATTTCACAGAAACCCTCAGGAGTCAATAATCACATCTTATAATTTGAGAGAATTAACACTATATCAATTTAAGATAATTTAACAATGTAACTTTAGAAAGTTATATTGTTTTTCTTTTCTTCATAAGTAAACAATTAGTATCTAGTTGGGTCTATCAATAATAGAACTTACTGTGATTTCTTCAAATTTTTATTCTTTTCTTCCAAAATAAGGGATCACTTGTACCCTGGAAATTTTTTTAGGTTTTATTCTGTGAAAGACACCATCATAATGATAAATTCAAGAGTTAAAAAGTAAAACAAAGCGAAATAATTATATTTAAAAACCTAAGAAAGCTTTGCATACTCATGATGTTTTCATTTTAAAATAGTCTCAATACTTACTTATGATGTAAAATACTTTGAATTTCCTTGTGTTTAATACTCTGTAGGCATGGCAGGAAGGAGCAGGTGTTTGACTGATTGTCTTATGGTCCTGCTAACAAGGCCAGGGTCATGGAATTTACCAAGCAGCTGTTTGACTTCCTTTGAACATCCCAATGATGACTTTTGAAAGAAGCACGGGTTGTTGCAGAGGCATCTGTGGCGTGTTTTGTATAACTGAATTAATGGTCATGACCTACAGGTGCACAACAACACACACATCCATCTACCACTTCCTTAAATCCATTAATAGTTTCTTCCTTCACATCAATCCTCACTCCATGTAACACATAGCACAAAATCTGCCGCCCGGCAATTCTTTTCGGACCTTTACTGACACACGTAGTGACACCAATGACCTAATCCACTCCTAAACTTAATCTGATATTTATATGATGACCAACAAAAGTGAAAAATGTATCAAAAGCCATTCCACTAATGCAAGAATCTCAGAATCTCAGAGCTGTTAAAGATATAAGAGATTAGATAATCTGATCTTCTCATTTGACAAATGAGGACACCTGAATCCAGTCTATTCCTGTCTCAGGCTGCTGGCTTTACATAGATTAAAAATAAGTCCTATACCTAAATCTTTCTATTCCCCACACACTACATCATTTACTTCAAAAGTCCTTCTGAAACGTATAATTGTCTTACTCTCAAATATTTCTTTCTTTCTGAGAACACTTATACTGTATTTCAATTCTAAAAAACAAATCTGAATTTTACTAGATTTTAAAAAATATTTCAGAGAAATGTTTAAAACAACACCAAAGAAATCCTTTTTTATATAATTATTATTCACTGGCATTCTCCCTTTGAAAACTTCTCCAATGTTATATTTCTTCCTGTTATTGCTAATGACACTTGGCATATCGTATTTCATTAATTCCTTCCTGGGCTAAGGCACACAGAAGAAAATACTTAATTTCATTTTAATTGAGCACAGTTTAGTTGCCTAGACTACCTCATATTAATGAAATAAATGGAATTAAGATTACGAATTACATATAAGTGCCCGTACATCAAAGTAGAAAATAAATTCTTTCTTCAAAGAAATCCTCTATGGATCAGCAGAAAAGGATGTGATTCACCCTCACGTGTGCATAAACACGCATGCGCACACACACACTCAGATAAGTGACCTACGAGAACAAGCCAAGATCAAAGGTAAATCTAAATCTATTGCAAAAGTCAAAAACCCTTCAAGGGAACGCTTTTAAAAACTATTACTATAGGTAGCACACAATCAGTTCTTCTAACTTTCATGTTTGGCGTCTCCATCCCCTTGGGTGTGGATTATAGTTGCAACTGGCCACTGGAAGACAGTAATCAGATCTGGTCTCCATGGACATTATTTCAGAATCATTTCTGGAAGGCTGCCTATAATATGCATATGACAACTGTGAACCATATTGGGAGTTGGTGGGCATACTATTATTGGGTAAGGATGCAACATTATACTCCTGCCTTCCAGATGAGCCCGTATTGGCCTTCTGGGTTTGAGGAACATAGGACAGTCTCTTATTCCACTCCTCCGAGGGCCCTGGAAGCACCTTCCTCCGAGCTGCTGAGACCACATTTGCCACAATGGATTCCTGGATGTTTCTGGATCTAAAAGCATCATCCACTAGACCAAGAGGAGAATTTGCTGCTGCTTCCCAAGGAGTTAGTCTCTTGTTGGCTTTCTCTAGCCCATCAGTTGGTTTGCTAGAGTAGCTATAAGCAGGCTGGTATACCCAAGGAGACGTTGTAGAGATGGCAGGTGGAATTGGTCTTCCAGGAAGAGAAAGGGAGTGTCCACTCTCCTAGAAACAATGAAAATGTTAATATATCTCATTCATTTTCATTTATACTGACTGACTGTTATGCCAAAGTATACCTGACACCATTACCAAGTACTGTAAAATTCAAATCCCACAATGCCTAGTTCTAAAGCCAGGACAGGCTGCCTTTACCTGGTGTATTATTAGCCCTGGTATGGGACTGGGCCCTCACTTAGGACCTCCTTGTTACTGTCCTTCTCTGAGCCCATAGCGCCAATTGCTACTACCTCTCTTAGGCATATCCACCATGGCAGGTGTCCTGTCATCACTGGGTGCCACCCTCACTTCCTCTTTGTCTTCCATATATTCATATCTATATCCACAGCCCACCCTCATTCCTCTTTTCCTGGTACAAAATAAAGACAAAATGTATTGATAACTCCAGAAACAGACCATAAGCTACTGGGCTTTGTACTTTTCCCAAGTGACATTTAATCTGTTACCTTTTTTGGTCCATCGAATGTAGCAAAAACAAACAAAAGCTACTTAGATATATTTAATGTTACTGGTGATGGAGTGGATGGCCCTTTTCCTCTCAAATGCTATTTGTGTATTGGGAAGATCCACATAGATCTTCATTTCCTAAGTGTGCTGAATTGTCCATGTCTCTGAAGGAAACGCTCGGGCCGCTTGTTCCATTTGCATTTGCCTCCTTTTCTGTGTACTCCACTCCTATGTCTTTGAGAGTGTGTGTCCCTGCAGCATTCCCTTGTGTATGCTGAATGTTCGGTTTATCTAATATGCACACATATAATTTCTTGAAAGCTCTTGTATTCTCTCCTTTCCCCCCTTCTGTGTTTCCAGGGAGCCTGCAGACTGGTTATCTATAGTACTCTACTCCCCCGCACGTTCCCATCGGCATGAGATTCTCTTAGACAGACTCCTGGAAAAAGTAGCAAATGTACATACACCTAAGGGAAATGATAGGAAAGTACCATAACATGTTTCATGAACAAAATGCATTGCCGTGCTTAAAAATGTGTTCAAATTTCAGAAACGGTTTCAACGGCTTTTCTTTCTTAATCAAGTTCTTAAATGTAAAGTGAATAGCAACATCTAGATTTGGACAAAATATCTCAGATTCAAGGGCTGGCCCTGTGGCCAAGTAGCTGAGTTCACACACTCTGCTTCAGCGGCCCAGGGTTTCGCTGGTTTGGATCCTGGGTGTGGACCTATACTCCGCTCACCAGGCCATGCTGAGGCAGTGTCCCACATAGCAGAGCCAGAAGGACCTACAACTAGAATATACAATTATGTACTGGGGGGTTTTGGGGAGAAGAAGAAGGAAAAAAAAAGATTGGCAACAGATGTTAGCTCAGGTGCCAATCTTAAAAAAAAAAAAATCTCAGATTTAAATATTTTGTTTTTGTTTTTGCCATTAGGCATACAAAGAAGGTCAGTGGTTCATTCTTGGTTTGAGTATAAAGAATAAGGGGATCAATATAATGGCTCTTGCTTCTCTCTTTTCAATCATTAACACTTTAGTGATAATGGTTGAATCCTAACAAAAACTCATTTTCATTAATCTTCTTCTCTTAATCTAGATCTAATAACAAGTCCTCTTCACTGTATAGTCAGGGAGGGGAAAAAAAAGCCTGACTTTTAGTCACTCTTTAAGGATTAATTTCTATTCCACATTATTTATGCATAGGTTTCATTGATTCATTTAACAAAAAATTTATTGAACATCTAATATTTCCAGGCTCTCTTCTATGAGCTAAAGATACAAAGATGATCCAGACAAAGTCCCCATCCTCAACAAGCACACAATCCAGTACGATTTTTAGCTCTGCAGTCCAAGCTAGCCAATCACAGAAGGTCATTCTAGAGAAGAGAATCTTTACCTATCTTGACAGGACCAATAGGGAGTTTTCTAAACTGTGAGCAATATTAGCATTCAGTAAGATAAGAAGAAATTTAGCTTTTGTCTTCTATAGTACATGTCTGTGTCTCCCCATTGGCCTTATACATGGAAGAAAGAGAACAATATGGGTCTATAGAGTCCTTGGGACAGTTTTCAGCCTCCAGTGGTGTCTACCTTATGTCGTCTTTCATCAGATATAGCACCGCAAGACCTGCTTTAGTCAGGTCTTTAAAACAATATAGACTTGAAGGGATGACAATAAAGAGATCCAAAACGCGACAGAAACAGAGGAGAGGCTCCTGAACGTACACACAGGTGACTAGTGTCATTGGCTAATATCTGGAAAAAGAAATAATTATCAATATATTTGGAAGCACTAAGTACGATGGGAATGCATATACTTCAGTGACAGGACATCTAAAACATAGGATGAAAGAGAGAAATTTATTTTCTGGTCTTTCTCCTACCCACTTAGTTTGGAAATCTTAAAAAGAATGAAAACTTAGAAATTAAAAAGTTCTAAAGCTTATTAAATGATATTCTAATACCAAAGACATCAGGGATTTTTTTTCCGGTGTTATAAACATGAATCCGTTGAATGTGTGGGGAAAGAGTAAAATTTTGAAGTATAATATTGAAAGAGTAAGTCAAGGTTTTCCAAAGAGAAATTTAAAATTGTATTGAAGTTTTAAAAAAACTCATGTAGAATACACATATGCCAAATATAGCAATAGTCCTGGTTGGGAGGGAGAACGCAGTTACCTCAACGAGCAAAATGGCTACTGCTATTCTACGTGTTCTTCAGACTGTCAAACGGGCCTTCATATGCCTTTAAGTGCTAACAATAGAAGATAAATCTACAAATTGTCTTAGGTTAGAGATGCAACTGTGGTATAAAGAAATAGTTCTTTAGGTACATTGTTGTTTCTGCTTATGCCAAAAATATTGCTGAGCTCCAGTCTCTGCCTGCACCCAAACCCCTAATTTTAACACATTTCTCCAAAGCAATTTCCGCATCTTGTTCCTTGGAGCTGTTTCCTTCTGTCAGTCTCTGTCCAAGCGCTCGTACTCTTCTCTGCTTGGCTGGCTCAATGAAGCCATGTGATATACCCTGAGCCAGAAATGAACCACAGGACCTGAAAATGACAGAGGCGTTTCTTCTCTTTTGGAGTGTGAATGTCTGATGGTAGAATCCTAGCATGACATGGGTTAGATCTGGGTTGTAGTTTCCACCACGGTTGTATTATTATCAAAAGAATTTAAATTTTTGATATGAGAGCACTTAACTGTAACCAATTATGTTCAATTGGCATTGCGTACGACGTATCATCAAATTGCCTCTTTCTCTTTGTCTCCTACTACCCTTTACATTTTTTTAATGAAAGATGTTTTTCCACTGCCACTGGCTGAAGACTTAGCAGGTCCTGTGACGTTCTGCTTCCTTTTAGGAATAGTCCCATGCTCCCCTTAAGTTACCCAAACCACTTTATTACAAAAACGAATATTCCATCCCTTGGAACAACAAATTCCAATCTCAACTTAGAGCTCAATCTCCTCTCCTTTCCAACCTGGGGCCTGTTTCCGGAGGATCACCTTCCTCTGGGGAAGCCATTGTGGTTGGCTTCTTTCCTTCCTCTTCCTCTCCCAGTTGGGTGCTGGCCCCCTGGGGTTAGAGTGCAAGGATGGAGCAGAAAAAGAGCAGAAGGAAGTTTTTGCTGGATTTGGTAGCAGTGTATTCTGGCTTCTCACTCTCAGAGCCAGGTAGGCCCCGAGAAGGAAACTTCCACAGGATATGTGAAGATTCCTATCAATGGGGACAACTTGCCTGCAGTCCTGGATTCATGCCAACTCATTCCTGTTCTAGGAGTTAACTATCACTCATTCTGCACCCCCTCGAAGCTGTCTACCTCCAGCTTGTAGCTACAAGGGTTCGTTTGCACCCTTGAGGAGGCCCCAAGACGACCTCATCCAGCTCTCCCTTGCTCCTGGCCTGCTCTCGTCCATGGGGAACACTCACACCATTGCCTTTGGGAGTGTGGCAGCAAACTTCCTGGTTCTTTGCCAAGGCAGTTTGTCAGCCCATCTCTCACCCTCCAGATATCGTGGGAGGGGGTCAGACCCCAATCCACTCTGACCTCCCATCCGTCCTCATGCAGGCACCTCATACCAAATCCTCTAAGAAGCCACTTTGAAACTCTGCTCACAAGGCTGGAGGGCAGGAGGCAGGGGCCTTCTCCTCCACCTGCTCCAAGCACGCATGCCATGACCCGCAGCACTCCAGAATTCCTCCTCACAAAACCCTCTCTCCTTGCCATTCTCTGACCCTCTAACAGCCTGGACTTGACTCAGGGATTCAAGAATTGTGGAAGTGGTTTGCTATTCTTTGAACACACCAGGCACACTCCTGCCTAATATTTTCTTTGTAAGTCTGTATTTTAATCTGGAATCTCACTGCCGTGCACAGCATCTCTTATATCTGAGGGCCCTGGGGAAACTTCCACTATAATATCTTGTTATGCAGCATGATCATTTTCAGTTAAGCACAAAGTTCTTTCTCTTATTTTTATTTTTAAAATGAAATACAGGCTAAAAGAAGAATGGAAAAAATTTTTTTCTACTAATTAATTTCAATAAATTTCTCTAATAACTTCAAATAGTCTTAAGAGTGGAAATCTTATCCCTCACTCTGGCCTCGCTCTAGAGAAGAGGGGGCGGCCATGTTTCCAGGGCATCTCGGTCCATCCTTAGGCTCTAACTTTGGAGAACTTCTTCCTTCCATTGAACCAAACCGCCTCCCGTTACTTCAGCCCAGTGATCCTGATAACACAGAATATAGCTACTTCCGCCTCTATACGGACGTTCCCTCATCTATACCCAGTGGCTTCACCCTCTTTGAACACCTTCACCATCCCGTTGCTAGCCTTCATGTTTCAAAGTAAGGAGAAATAACATTCATGGTGTCCATTCCCTCAAGTTTTCTGCATCTTCTTCCTCCAGTTTAATAGGTAAGGCTGATGCAGACAGAATACCTTGAACTTCTTAAGTAGATGTACCTATGTAAACACCAAAAGCCAACACAAGAAGACATCACTCAAACTGAGGGGCCGTGTCATCTGGC